TGAAAGTGGAAATTGTGTACGTTCAAGTAATATTGTTATAAACAAGTTGGTTAAAAAGACTACCCTGATTTGTATAATGTGTAAAGTTAGGTCAGATTTAACTGCTAGATCGAGGCTGTCCTGCCCCAAAAGGGGCCAACTCCCTCATAATTACTCGGATATACTTGCCCATAATCTTAGTCTTAAGTTAGAAGATCGAGGCTGCCCTGCCCCAAAAATTGTTCCACATCCCCACAATTTCATGGATATACTTGCCCGTAAACTTAATCTTAAGTTAGAAGACATTCCTAAGGTCATGATTGAGAACAAGTGGCATCAGAGGATGAACTCCATCTCGGTGACAGCCGTCACATGATGAAGATGATTGTTAAGCAGGTGTCGGTCTTGTCAACGTGACCGAGTATGAAGGAACTAGGCATTGTAATCATTATTATGTTAATAAACACAACATCACAAGACACTCATTCTGATTAAAAGGAAGAGGTTTCTAAAAATGTCAACATAATTATAGAGAGGGGAATGGCTCAGAACAAAACTAGAGACAGCAATGGTTTGTAGTATGTAGTTTTAGTTATTGAGATACATGTACATTTCTTGAATATATTGTCTGAAGCCACAAAGGCATTTAACCCTGTGTTAAATGATAAATGTTAAGGCCCTTATGGCTTCAAACAGACTATAATATTATCCATGCAAAAACTATTGGAAATCTGAACTGTGTCATTATTACAACACTACAATGAAATTGGTGCACAATTTCTTATTTGCTTCTTTATTTCAAGAAGGAAAGCACTCCTTCACTATGTAGGAAAATGAGGTTACTCTGTACATATTTTAATTGACCTTTGATGAGTGTGGTAATTACAAAAACAGAAGTCAGAGGTTATCTGAGGTCATATGTTATGGTGATTCTAGGCATCGTGATCGAACACTATCTAAGAGGTGCTACAAAGTTATCAGGTATTTGTATATAGATCCAATAACATCATCAGTGCTTAAAAGGCATTACCGGGGTATATAACATTGTACAAAATGTAAACATATATATGTACATGTACTTCACATAAATTGTGGGAAATTGTATTTCCCCAACAATGGAAGAACCAAAGCAGTTGCCTTAATTTTATATCATACATAATAATTTCCCTCTCTTTGACCATCAAGAAATATCACATCACAATAAAAGATAAGTAGATTAGAAATTACGCATAGAAATCACACTATATCATGTACATACTGGTACATATATCTACAAGTATGAATTTCTATGACAAATAGATTGCAATTCAAGTTCAAGTAAATAGCGATTTTCTAAATACCCCATGGAGAGTTTACATATTATCCCATTGTAATGTCTGTCCTCTTACATGGGTTTTATTTTGTGTACATTGGCCCCACTGTACTCTGAAAATCAATTTGAAGTGTTGGTAATTATCAATTGTATTTAAGAGGAATAATTTATAGTATATCAAAGTTCATATTTATGTAAACCTGATGGAAAAACGTATTCCTTGGGTATCAAAAATATGTTGTCATCAAAATACCAATATAAAAACTACAGATATGAATGAATCTATGTCTTTCTGTCTCACATATCAATTAAATTTAACAAAGCTCAAACTGTGTTTCCACAAAAATTATCTCATGCCTAAAGAAATACATCATTCTAAAATCCATGATTGAAATGTTAACAATGTTGCCATATTCTTTTTTTAAAGAGAATTTACTAAATGATGAATAATATCCTGATCTTCAAAGTGTGTATTTCAAATTTGCAACACATCAATAAGTTCTATGAAAGATTGTTGACCACCTTAAAAATAAGAACCAGTTAAAATAATCACCGGCCAATATTTATGTTGGTATAGATGTTTCCCTTAGTGATGAGATATTGCCACAAAGTCTAGTATGGATCCATAGTTTAGATGTGAAAGTTGAATTGTGATGATATGAATAAGAAACATGATTTTATTTCTGTCTGCTCGTGTAAGCCACAGATGTTGAACTGCGCTGGATTGTACAATATATCTTAATGCATTGTGTGATATCATGTACATAAACTTTTGGGCAAATCTCTAATGTACCTTTATACTCAAAAACCTTTTGAAATTCAGCCCTTGATTTACACTGAAGAATTCTGGTGATGGAAAAAGGTAGTACCCGGTATGTAAAAATCTTAAAATTTCATTTCACGAAAAAACGTGTGATCGTCTAAGTAAATAAATCACACATGACCGCGTCTTACCAATCATTTGATTAGGATCTAGGAGTGAGTTGTATAAAATTGCTTTATGATAGTTTCTCACAAAATAAATGAACAGTTTCATAAGCAGCTGTGTACCTGTATATTAATACCGGTAGGCAGAATTCAAGAATTCCATTAAGGTACATCCTGCCCATCAACATCTACATGTAACCCTAATATGGTCTGGTGAGAGACAGAAGGGAGTTAACTATCTGGACAAGAATTTAGTTGTATTGTATTGTATTGTATTGTATTTATTTTCCGTCATTTAAAAAATACATCAACATAATTATATATATATATATATATTTACAATCATAAAGACACACATATAAAAAAAAAGAAAGAAAGACGGAGGAATGGCCCTACTCAGCGTTGTTAGCATAACAATGCTGGTTTACAGAGGGGTCCCTAGAAGTGAGCAGTTAATGCCCTCCTGGCTCTCAGCAGACGATAAGTTTTCTGTTTATAAAGGGGGGGCGGTATGATCATATACATCTTCAAAATACAAACAAAAGCATGCTATCACTTTCATGCTGTGTATTTCTTTTAAAACTGTTTATGTACACGTATATCAGCTACTGGGTAATATTTCATTACAGACTGTACAACAAGACTACTTCTATCTACATTGAAAGTGATTTACAGAAATGGTATACTTCTTCTATAATGACAAAGGGGAAAGCATTCTAGATCTACAACATCATTTGAACAACATTTCATGAATTTAATGACTTTGGTTTGGTTCCGGCTATAAATGGACACAATTAAAATAGGAAGTCCATGAGCTTTTCATTGGTTTCAAACTATAAAAGGGAAAGTATAGGCAAAAAAAAACATAATACAAAATTTAAACACACCTCCTACTCTTTGGTAGTGCAAATCATTTGCCAACAACGTACGTCATCACATGTACTCTACTAAAAAATAATTGCAAACACTGTTGATATCATACAAACAATAAACATAAACAAGATAAATAAGACTGCGCTCTAATATCCCTCCGCCTACATGTAAATTCATTGATCAATGATCCTGTGACCTTCAACATATCTGACCCCACAGACCCAAATGCTTGTCATTTAATTTCTTTAGTGGTTTTACATACTTGAGCGCAGTCTGGTCAACATTGGTTCAAATTTTGTTCAATGAGCACAGTAATAAGATATTTTCTGGACTTTGTAACACTTTTATGACCTGTGACCTTTGACCTCTTAAACCCAAGATTTAATCAGTTCACCCTGCATGCTCATACATGTTTCATCTAAGTTTGGTTTGAATTGCTTAAATGCTTTTCCTACCATTGCGGTAACAAGATATTTTATTTTTTAGCACTTATACAACCCTATGACCTTCGAACTTTGACCTCTTCAACAAAAAATCTAATCACTTCATCCTTCGCTGCTCATACATCCTCCATTCAACGTTGGTTAACATCCATTCAATAGTTCTCAAGTTATCACAGGAACCACAGTAATGAACAGCAGGACAGACAGACGGATAGATGTACAGATAGACAATCCGAAAACATAATGATTTCAGCCCTCAGTGACGGAGGCATTCAATTTCTAATGTACCGGTACTTTGGTTCTCACATAAATTTCATTCACTAATATATCAATATTAATACCATGCTTTTATAGAGCATATCACTTTCACATTGTCCCTATTCATTGGTGAATGGACTATGGCAAGAATTTTAATCAACAATGAAGGGGTGCTATTCTGCTCTCTGCTCTTTGTTTGACTTCTAGGAAATCACACCTAGATGAAATTTGCTTCTATCTCACCTATTGACATTGTATAAAGACATTACTGCAAACTCTTCTTCCTGAATGTCTTGCTACATATCACTTTCGATTCCCTGGATTACCGTTATATTCATTACAAATTCCAGGTATATTTGAAAGAAAGGTAATTTAGGCATAGATTTCAAGTGTAGCATAAATTACAGTGGTGTCATAGTCCAATCCAGGACATGGACAATGCTGTTCCTCTATTTTCAAGGAAGAGTATGGTAAGTCTGATGGGAGGGAGGTTTGAATCACTGTTATCAACCTCTCCTGTTTGTGCCTCAGTCCAAGACAGGACAGAGGAGAATTTGGTTACCAAAGGTTCTTACGATGAATATATTCTGATTGGAAGGGGTTATATCTCCTTATCAATTACTCCTGGTGATGTCCAACTCCAAGACAGGACAGAGGAGTTCTTGGATACTAAAGGTTCTTACGATTAATTTATTCTGATTGGAAGGGGTTATATCTCCTTATCAATTACCACTGGTGATGTCCAAGTCCAAGACAGGACAGAGGAGTTCTAAGATACTGAAGGTTCTTACGATGAATGTATTCTGATTGGAAGGGGTTATATCTCCTCATCAATTACCCCTGGTGATGTCCAAGGCCAAGACAGGACAGAGGAGATCTTGGTTACCAAAGGTTCTTACGATGGATGTATTCTGATTGGAAGGGGTTATATCTCCTCATCAATTATTCCTGATGATGTCCAAGTCCAAGACAGGACAGAGGAGTTCTTGGATACTAAAGTTTCTTACGATGAATGTATTCTGATTGGAAGGGGTTATATCTCCTCATCAATTACCCCTGGTGATGTCCAAGGCCAAGACAGGACAGAGGAGTTCTTGGATACTAAAGGTTCTTACGATGAATGTATTCTGATTGGAAGGGGTTATATCTCCTCATCAATTACCCCTGGTGATGTCCATCAAGTCCAAGACACATCAGAAGCATCTGGGGAGGAGTGTGGCAAGTCGGAAAGGAGGAGGGCCTTTGCTTGATCGGCTCGTGTTAGAGTCATAGTCCAAGACAGGAGGACATGGGCGACCTAGGATCCCCAGGGTTCTGGGGGGTGGCAGGGATGTGACACGCATGGTGGGAGGGAGACGGATTCTCCCTCATCACTTTCTCTTGGTCTCTTTTGATCCTTTCCACAAGTGCATGTGTCGCCTCCGTCACATCCTCGAATATCGGGACGCGCTCACGGCTGGCCACGTCAGCCAGGTACTGGCGCCCTCTGTTGTAGTCCTTGACAGCCCTAGGTGTAAGCTAACGGGTAGACATAGAAGAGGAGGGGGGAAAGGGTCAATTTTAAACTGGAAGTGCCATCACTCATTAAGATGGTGCCTTTAGTATTGATGGTAATATGACGGAGAGAAAGAGTACTCATTTCTGTTTCTTTAATCACTTCTTTAACATTTATGCTCCCATTTGAACCTACTTTTAAAGAAAGTTTAATGAAAGTTCTATTGCTCTTTGACCCTACATGAGATGGCCGAATCCCCCCCCCCCAACACACCCCATTGTTTGCTGAAAATGATATACCTGGCACAAGCTATTCATGAATCTTTAATCTTGGGAGTAATGGACCATGTGATATCATAATAATGTAAGTAATAAAATTGATGATTAGTGCCCTAGAATACACTTCGATAATTACCTCCTCTCCGTCGACCACCACTCCATCTGTGAGGTCCTTTATGCATAGAATCACATTGCGATCTTGACCGATGTAGTGTGCAACCTAGAAAAAACAAGGCATTGCAATGTCAGAATAAAGGCAGGATAGAGTATTGAAATATACCCTCACATGAGGAGTCCTACACAACTTGCTTTTTTTATTAATTTACTTTGCATGCAGTCCACAACAGAGGCGGATACGGCAAAGGGGGGGGGGGGGCAATTCGTAAGAAAATATTTAGCGCCGGATCAACAAGCCGGCGAATAATCGGAGGGTTGGGGGTTGGTTAGGCGCACTAATTTTCAAAATCTATCCCCTCCCTCCCCTGAGCCAAAAAGGATTTTATGTTTCTTCTTTTGTTTTGGTTGGGGGGGGGGGCGGGCCTGTTTTTATCGTAAAATTAAAGTTGTTTACCTGTTTAGGGGGCAAAGGGCCGGGACCGACGCCCCCCCCCCCCCCACGTGGATCCGCGCCTGGGCCACAACAATCACACATGTCTTCTGAGAACAATTGACATTTAGGCGAGGCGTCAAAAATAAATATACCAGCCAGCGGCAGCTAACTGCACTTGTGCGTCCTGGCTGCATTTTTTAAATTAGCTCAGCCGGCTACCGCTGGCGGTAGGACCCTCAATTAACTCATGATGTCATCATAATGGTCTCCGAACAAAAGCATGCGCCGGCTGCCGCCTTTCGAATGGAAACCGAGCCTCAGATCCCAGCCTGGCGCAAGCCGGCTGGGCTAATAAGTGAAAAATAATTGCCCCAGCCAGGCTTCGGCCGTAATTGCAGCCTCGATGCGCTAATACGTGAGGCGGCAGCCTGCTGGTATCGATATTTTTGACGCCTCGCCTTACCAATATCCTACATATTAATATCGGGTCATAATTTTGCAGATCCTCTCATGTCCGGCTCAGCAGTACGAAGTTGGCAAGAGTTTAAATTCACAAAGGCTCAGTTGAAAAGTGATGCTTGGTTTGGTTTGATTTTTTTAAATTTTTACCTGTCTGCTATAATTAAATAAGTATAAGTATCCCACTTACCGAGCTAACTTCGTAGTTGCTGTACACATGCTATGATCCGTGCGATACGAGCGACTTTAGATCGGACGTGCACACAATACATGCACACATTTTTGCTCGGGCGCGCGATTATTAGTACTTGATGGGCGCTCCCAACGACAGGTTGTGGATCCCTAACTTTTTTGACGGGCCGCTAGGCAGGGATAACAGCAATAAATTCGACAAGAATCTTGTCTAGTAATTGAGCGGCCAGGGGACTAACAGCTTTAAGCCCTCTCTGACTGACTTGGTAATGAGGATTAATAACTTAACAAAGGGCACTTGTACATTTACTTGGTTTTAAACACATGCACTGCTCTACCACTAAGCCATCGCACCTAAGAATGGCTGACATCACAGAGACTTAAACACACAGAAGAGGGAACCACTGGCAATAAGATAAATAAACTAATAGATTGTATGTTAAACTTTTTTTTTTTAAATAGGCCTATATGCCTGATATGCATGGTAAAAAAATCAGTTGGCTGTACTGTGGGGGGTTTTGAGAACATCTACAACTCGCGGAAAATACTATTTCACACACGCTCACATGACAATTGGTCTGTAATCAATTTACTACATTAACTGAATTCCGCACTTCACCTCCAGACCCAACACTGTGCAACTTTAACCCCAATCCTAAAACTAAACCCAAAGCATGATGCAGTTTATTACATTGGTGACGTGGATGACACTTACAATCCTACATTAAAAATGCACACTCTCCACTTTATAAGAGCATTTTTTTTTTTTTTTTTTTTTTTTTTTACAATTTCTCGATTTCAGATCCTTTCTAGTTAAAGTAACTAAATTCAAAGCATGATATATTTATTACACCAGTCTCTGTATGAAATTTACAATTCTAAATTTAAATACACACTCGTCACTCCAAAGGGAGTATTCCAGCCATTTTCATCCAAACCACAATCATATTTGCATCCTATCAGGTACCCAATCATACCCTCCTTAAGCACACAAGTGCCGTACATTGGCTATCTATCTATCTATCAGGCTATAGTTCATCCAGACGTTGGACAAAGCCCTCATCATTCTCTTATGTCTCTAGCTGTCCTAGCCCAAGCGGCCGTTCCCATGTACACAGTAAAAACGCTGCTTAAAAAAGTGATGTTCACTTACAGTTGTACACTATCTTAAACAACAGTTGAACAAATTGTAAACAATGTTGCTCGAAACAAAAGTAATTTTGTTAAATATTCGCTGTTTAAAATTTAATGACTGCTATATTTACTATACGAGAGCTTTTAGACAGTGTTGTTTACATATGACGTCATGTGGCACGTGCCAGTAAAGTGCACGTTGGCTAAAAGCTTTATTTCACATCATGGCCGACCAAGCTACCGACGCGCTTCTAAGTGACTGGGGATTCAATGGCTTAATTGAAATCACTTTTCTATTAACCAATTTGAAGTCTTTAACTTATAGCGTAAGTTCACAGTTAAAATGTTTAGTTTCTGTACGCAAATGTCAGAATATAAGTAGACTAAAATCGTCGCGTCATGCAGTGCAGCACTGATCGCGCACTCGGTTATAACGTGTGCTAAATTCCTTGTCATAGAGATTGCATGCATCCCTATATATGCAGTTTATACGTGCGTGCATGCGTGCTCATGCAAAATGGGCACTGTTTTGGCGCTCATTCATGAATTGAAGAATTACCCTACCATATTGCTAGTCTTCATATACCTATATAGAGGCCCAGAAGTAGTGGTGCACTTATTCAGAGTATCAAACCCAAATTATACCCCATTATACAACCCCTTTGTTGTAAAAAAAAAAAAAAACTCTGAACAACAGCCCCTTTTTAAACAACTTTCTTTAAACAACCCAGTTGGTGTAAACAACCCACACTGAACAACAGCTCCTTTTTAAAAAACTTTCTTTAAACAACCCAGTTGGTGTAAACAACCCCCACTGAACAACAGCTCCTTTTTAAACAACCGTTTTAAAACAACACCGGTTGTTTAAATTGTGATTTTAAACAAGTTGTTCAAAATGTTGATCAACTAAGTGTTCAAACTTTAAACAACTCGAGATGCTTAACATGATAAACAACTCTCAGATCAGGTCACCCGTTAATCCGAGGTTGTTTAAACTTTTCAACAACTTGTTCACAACAATTTTAACTGTGTATATGATGTTAGGTCATCTCTCCATCTTCTCTTCTGCCTTCCTCTTCTTCTCTTTCCCATCCTTGGTTGCCATTCTGTTAAATGATTTGCCCATCTATTGTCCTAAAGTCTTGCTACATGCCCAGCCATCTCCACTTGGATTCTCTGACTTTCTCCATGATGTCTTTAACCTTTGTTTTCTGGCGTATGACTTTGTGATTGATTTTGTCTTGGCTAACATCACTCAAAAATCAAACAGATATTAGTGGTCTTTTATCAACATATCTACCATCGTGGCTAATAGAGCAGGAATTCCTATTTCAATATTCATGTACTAAACGTCGACGTTTGATATTTCAAGAGAGTCATGGAGGGAGGGCCCTAGCTTGCAAAACTGTACAAATTGTGATAAATTACTGCAACAGGATTCTAACCTTCAATCATCACTGCATCAGTATTTCATTTTGTTTCTCAAGGTTTTTGAGAAAAACAAAATAATCAGCACATCTTGTTCTTTGAGCAAAAGTATCCGGATGACCGTGCAACTTTTGTTTTGTGAAAGGTGATTAAACTTTGCATAAAACCACACGAAATGCTAATACTTTTGTGAGAAAATCAGCTTCTGTTTCCATCCCCGGGCTGATAAGTTGAAACGGAATGAATGTTATCGGCTTCTGAATGTCAACAAATCGATTGCAATCTATGGGCATAATCATAAAGTAATATAAAACGCTTTTCAAGTATTTGCGTCATTGCTTTTTGTTATTTCTTGATGTGAGAGGCAATCTAAATATATATGTTAACAAAAAAGGAGATATCATGACAACGTGCTTAGAGTTGAATCACCTTATCAATAATATTGGATGCCCAGCAGAAAGGCGCAAATGGACGCATGTCCAAATTTCTAGAAATGTTCATTTTATAGTTTAGATTATTCTTTGACCGTATCTACATATCGTCTGATTGTGAACGTTAATAAATTAAAACTCCTCGAAATCATTTCTTCATCCTTTCATAACAAAAATACAGAATTTTAGTAAATGATCAGATAGAGTGTGCATTACTCTTCAAAACATCATCATAATGACCTCCTCTCCATCGACGACCACTCCATCCATCAAATCCTGTATGCATAGAATTACATTGCGATCTTGACCGATGTAGTGTGCAACCAAGACCGATTTTCACATTTCCGGGTGCAAAAAAAGAATAGAAAACATTTCAAAATGGGGAGGGGGGGGGGCAAAATGGGTGGTCCCCTTTTTTTGACAAAACATGGGGGGGTCATTTGATATGATCCCCCCTCCCCTAAATGTAGATTAACGCCTTGCCAAAGGACGTTAGTGGCTGGCTAGGATTTGAACCCCTTACCTTGTGATCTGCAGTCGAGTGACTTATCCACTAGACCACATTGCCTTGTTGGAAGATGGAAGGAACACAATAATTTGCATCTATACAAACATTCAAAAGGCATGAGTCTGTTGCAATTCTTAGTTTTCCTTTTTACAACTTTTCTTTTTCAGAATCTTTCTAACTATTCAAAGCATAATACAGTGTATTATTACACCCATCACTGAATGCAACTTGCATTTCTAAATTTAATCTACACATTCTCCACACCATAGGGAGCATTCCAGCCATTTTAATCCAAACCACAATTATGTTTGCATCTATAATCAGGTACCCAGTCCCACCTTCCTTAAAAACACAATTGCAATGCCGTGGCTAAATTCACTCCTAGCAAATATCAACGGTCTGTTATCAACATCTACCCTAGCGGCTAATAAATCAGGAATTACTTTTTTAATATTCATGTGCTAAATAATCAAAATTTGATTTTTCATGAGAATCATGGAGGGAGTGCCCTAGCTTGC